ATCACATACACTATTTTATAGGTCTGTTGACTAGGACCAAAAGGCATGGTTGTAATGTAAAAAAATACGAAAAAATGTTAGTGTCGTCTTCAAAAGCGAATATCTCCAAAAGAATTACAGCTATTGAGATGAATTAAGAAACAAACTATCAAGAAATGACACACCTAGATGATAAAATAATTTTTACATTCCTTGATTTCTTAACTAACTACACAGGGTGTTCCAAACTTTCGCCGAAATATCAACATTTTGTTTTCCCCCGTACAATTGACAGATGGGAACTTTCATTTTTAATTTAGAAAGACATACTAAAAATTCAAATAATCTAGCTGCAAACTGCTAAAAAATCATCAAAATCGGTCCAATAGAACACAACATATAAAACTTTAAAATACCTGAAAATTTTAAGGCGCCCGTTTTTCGTGCCGGTGAGTGTATTAATACTTCTATACAGCTATAGGTTGAACAAGTTATGATTTTTTTTAATACTGGTATATTTCCACTTTTACAGCGTACCATCGATCATGCATGATGATTTATAGCATATATCGGCGGCTTTATGACGAAAAGGCGTATCTCGATTTTTGGCGATTTTGAGATATCAACGTCATGACATGCCCAATGGGTCATATTTTAACATAGCGAATTGTTATACCTATTGTTATACTACAAGAAAGATCGAATTTGAGATAGGTCTTTTTGTTTTAAGTTATGAAAATGCATACGAGAAAAAATCACACCATTCTACCTAATTATTTTCTGATGGTTGCTTGGGACAAAATAAAACTTCTATCATGGCAGCAGCTCTCTTTTACAGTGTGATTTTGAGTCTGTTTTTTTGCCAAAAACCATTGTTAGAATGAGCTAGACTCTGCACATAGCTGTATCGGGTATGCAAAAGATTGTCCGAGAATAAATGGTCGAAGAAAAATTGATCGAAAGCAAAACAACGAAACGAAAATTGCCCTGATGGAAAAATTCCCGAAATTATAATTTCCCTAAGAATATTTTAGCGAACCAAAAACTTGCCGGAAAATACAATAATTTTTATCTCATTATCATTGTCAGGCCATTGGCATTGACATCCCTGTCAATTTTTGGAAAATTTTATTTATTGTCCCTATCATCATCCTGCATAAACACGTAGAATAGAAGTCGAATTTGTTATCATTGAACAGGGAAAACAGAAACTGTTAGTCCACAGTTATTTGTATCAAAAAGGCACGAATGAAGAAACATGTTTTGTTTTTGTTTAGTTTCGTTTTTATTAAATGGACCGTGAGTTTAAATGCCTTGTATTAATGCCCTCAATTAACTGAATAATTACTAAAAATATATTAGTTAAAAAATGTATTTTTGTATAAAAAAACAATATTATTAAAATAAGCTAGATAAGTGTATTTTAATTGATTATTGTCTTTGCTTCTGGAATGAAAATTTTCTTTGTTTTCAGTTGATCTAATCCAACGCGAATAAAAGTATTTAAAAATATTTGTTTTTGATTTTTTGGTGATTTTCAGATTTTTTCTGTATGTATGTATTGTATTTTCTTGTATGTATTCCATAATGTGAATATTGTATTTTCCTTATTAAGAACACTTTACCATCATTTTTAAATTTATTTTACATGGGCGTATGTATACTATTCGTTCGGAAATAAATTTGTTATTATTATAACAAAAAGACCTATCTCTATTAAACAACTAAAAAGAAATTATTTATTAGAATTTACGCACAATTTATCTTCAGGACGTTTCCTCAATGTCTCCGTTTAAGTGTTAATACAAAAACACTATTAACAAATTAAAGACTTTACATTTACTGGCCAAATAAAGTAAGTGATTTTCTTTAAATTGCTCTCCTGAAAAGTAGCAAAAGAGATACGCCTTTTCGTCATAAAGCCGACGATATGATGAATGGTACAAATCAATGTACGAACCTAAATGAACAAAATATGATATTATACAGGGTGTCCCAGAAATAAGTGCAAGTTTTTTAAAGGGTAGTAGATCATATTTTCTCTTTATCGTTTTTCAAATAAGTCCAAAATAACGGAGTTATTTTACTTTGAAAATTAAAAAAAAAATGATTTTTTGCTAAAATTTTGAGAACCACTGGATTTTTTTCTGGATTTTATTTCTTGTAAATTTAATCTACTACCTATGTTGCCATATTATCTAGAAATTATATTTTATAAATAAAAACAAAAAAAAATTCAAAAAAATTTTCAATTTTTTTTTTTCGCGAAAAAACCTCATAGGCGTGTTTCTGGGGTTGAACTATACTACCAGTTAAAATACTTGCACTTATTTCTGGGACACCCTGTATATTATTACACTTTATAGAAAATCCTAAAATAATCAATGAAAAATCAAAAATCTGTATATTACCATCCCATTTAATAGATATTTACAAAAATAAACATTGCCACAATTAAATGCAAGGTTTTCATAATAATTTTCATAATAATAAAGAGCTATTTTTATCAAAACCATTGTTTAATCACGAGAATTATTTAACAATCACGGTCAAAATTAAGGTAAAAGTATTATTCTGATTTGTGTTGGCGACAAATATAATAGTCTTTCCGCATTTTAATTTTTACGATAAACAACTGGCATTTAAAAAGTAATTTACAATTATCAGCGCAATTAAAAATTTTAATATCTATAAACCGGAAAATTTTAATTTATATTCTGTTTGCAAAACAGCAATATTTATAATACAAAAAGCACATAATATTTTTCTAATTCCTATAATTAGTAAGAAATAGGCGCTTACTAAATGATGAAACTGTACTCTAACTGAATATATAAATCAAATATACGGGGTAATTAAAATTCGACCTCCACCATTGTGATCTCAAAAACTATAGGTGATACTACTACTACTACTACACTACCATATTACTCGCTGAAGAGTACTTGACTACCAGATCCACATCAAAGTTATATATTTTCTTATGGAACACCCGGTATGTTATTTCATTTTTGGATGTTTGGACACAAAATGAAGCATTTATTATAAAGGTTAAATATGTTTATAAACTTTGGTTTTTGAGATACTTAAAGATATTTAAATATGTATGATATATAATAAAAAAATTGGCGCCGGGAGGCACGTATAGCCGCCCATACTAAAATATGTTAATATCTCGAAAACTGCGACTTTGACTGATTTTGATGTTATTACAAATTTTGTTGTAAATATTATTCCTAATCTTAATTTGAAAACCGCGTTTCGCTAGCTACTGTAATTTTGGAGTTACGATTTTTTTAAATTTTTAACCCCCTCCCATACCCCCCTACCAACCCCCCACCCCCACCAAAAACTACAGATATATATACAGACAGACTTTTTGAGACTTTTTGTATTTAGGTCATTTATGACCCAAATAACTTATTTTGAGTGAAATTAAAAAAACTTTTTTTTTGTCGATCCTAATAGCCTACCATACCTATTTAATTGGTATGGTTGGCTAAAAATGTAGGTACAACACAGCAAACACCCTGTACATTATCTTTTAGAATTAATTCTTGTATTGACTTTGAATCTAGAGAAATAAAATTTACTAAAAATTTGATTGCTTCGTTTAATGTATACAGGGTATCAAAAATTGCTGGCCTATTTTAATTATCTACTTTACATAAAAACTTCATTATTTCAAATGCAATACTCTGTATTTTTAAAATGTCTTTAAATATCTCAAAATCCAATGATTTTAAACATATTTAACGCTTATAATAAATGCATTTTTTAGGCCAAAGAATCCAAAAATGAAATAAAATACCGGATGTTTTGTAAGAAAAAATGTTTAGAAAAAACACCTGTATATTTCAAAATAATTTTAAATTATGCACATTGCCGCCCCGCATATACCCATAAAATATTTTGTTTCTACATCTTTCCTTATTCGTATAATCAACCGAGACGAATGAGGTGCGCCACCCTGTACACCTTCTTCGGAAGGTATATGTATTATATAAGGTTATATATTTTATCCTATACTTATATAGTATGTATATAGGGTTATTTTCCACCGCTAATAAGATTTTTTTTTGATTAATAACATTTTTTTGGAAAATTTGGAGTTGACATAAAGCAATCTGCTTCATACGTGTAAATTCTTTTTAGCGTTTCAGTTTTGTCGCTTTCTTTGAAATAGAACACCTAGAACATCTGGAACACCTTGTTACATTTTTGTAAACTTCGTTGGATTCCCATTAAGCAGTCCGGAGTTATTTATTTTTAGTTTAGTCTCAAACGTATCGTCCTTGAAAAAGCTAGCTGCGATAGCGTCGAAGTCATGATTACTAAACTCCGCTTAATGTACAGAGTATGTCAGAACTAATGACATACCCTGTACATTTCAAAATAATTTTAGATTATGCCCATTGCTTTCCCACATATACCAATAAAATACTTTGCTTCTACATCTTTCCGTTTTCGTATAATCAACCGAAACGAATGAGTTGCGCCACCCTGTATACCTTCTTTGGAATGTATATGTATACGGTTATATATTTTATCATATACTTTTAAAATTTTAATAGTTTGTATAAGTGTTTGATTTTTTTTAATAAATTTTATTATTTTTTAAATGGCTAAAAATAGAATTCAAATAGAATGAAATGGCATGCATATTGCTGAAATGACATACATCAGCTGAACACTTCCATTTCTTCCTTATGTTTTTTTTTTGGCATTTATCATTTAATCACATTTTGCTACAGATTTTCGAATAAAAATATGTTATACATATAGTGATATTAATTCAATTATTTAAACATTTTAAAATAATTTTACACTAATCGATTGTTAGTTAAATAAAATGTAAATAAAAGCATTTTATTTTATAATAATTATTTTGATGTACAAATTAATATATCTGCAATTAATAAAATAATTTTCCGAATGAATTTCAGTCATAAATATTCTGAAATAAACAATTCAATACATAAACATTAAACATCTAACCTAAATGAAAATTCGTCACTAACCTGTTTGAATATCTGGACGTCACACTTTTCGAGCTAAGTAATTTCGTTTCTAATTGTCAATTTTTCACATCAGTTTAGGCAGTGCAGTCGACCAGGCCAGCATCCATACGCCGCAAAACAATGCACGTTTACGTCCAGTCTGGATCGTCACGAGTGTCTGGATAAATCGACGGGAAAAAACAAGAGCCGAACTGCTGCCGGTGGTGGTGCTGTAGCTAGTGCGCAACTTTGCCGATAGAGTGAAAATTTCTGATGTTGGGGGATGATTTCAGGGTTGGAATGCTCTTGATTTCGTTCATGGTCGAGGGATGCTGTGTGCTGCGCGCAAGTAAATCGATAGGAAACGTGCAAGCTCCATGCTAATAACAGTAGCGGCAAATAAAAATACAGAAACGTAATTTTCAATTAATAGTTAAAAGAAATACCGAATGATGAAAAAAAATTGTGCGTGCACTATATTTGCATATTTGAAGTGAAACTTCTTACCAAGAGTTATTAAATTGAAGGATTTGAAGAACATGTTTGAAAAAGTGTAGTTTGAAATGTTGAAAAAGTAATAAATTACAATTAATAAATAATTTGATTTAGTTTCACAAAATTTGTATTAAAATAACAATTTGTCCATCTGACGACTCTATCCACGTGCCCAGTTTGGTTCCAATCGACCCATAATTAAGAAAAATCCTGATGGTTTCGTCCATTTAGAGGTACCGGTTCGAAACGTCCAGGGCGTCATCCTGTAGCCCGTTATGCCAAAATCGACTCACATTTTTCTTCAATATCAAATCCTTAGTCCCACCCTGATGACTGAGATGTAAATGAAACGTCGTATCCAACTTTACAACACATACCCTAACGACAAATAAAAATACAGATTCTAGTTCAGTCATTGGGGATTTTTGCTTGGAAAAAAGTCCGGAAGTTTTGTAACTTTGCAGGTTTATAGGTTTTGGGGTCCCTAACTAAAATCCATCAAATGCACATCCCCAGACTTGCCGTCGGCGCCGCCATCTTGCCAAGATGGCACCCAAAATCGGTGATTTGTGAATATCTCGAAAACTATGCGTTTTAAAGAGAATAAAATTTCCTATAAAAAAGGTTTCATGGAAATTTTCGCTAAAGTCAACCGTTTGGGCACAAAATCCCTGGAAATTTTACAATTTTGAGTAAAATATGATATATTATGTATAGTCGATTTTCCGAAATCAAACGTCGATTACGGTTCACTAAAACTAGTTTTAGTTTAGTTTCTTCAATTTTGTCATAAAACAGTGGTGTATCATTAATTCGCTCATTAATTCATGAATAATTAATTTTAATTATTGAAAATGTGTACTTGTTTCCACACCACCCAAGAGGTAAAGTATATGGTGCGTTTATTTTAACGTGGTCTCCCCGGAGGCCTACTTCACTAGATAAATTAAAAACTTTAACCTATCTGCACAAGCCTGACGGATCTGGCTCATTGATGTTAAAGTCGATCGTGTCTGCTGTGCTGGGCTCATCAGGGTGGTCCCTCAATACGTCCAACTCTTCACCTTCAGCCACCAGAGGGATATCTACAGGCAAGTCCAACTCCTCTTCATCGGATTCGTCGAGTGCCACTTCAGTGACGTTGTCACAGGATTTTCCATTGCAGTATGCACAAATCATTGAACATTTTAATCCTGGTTTACTGCATCTGAAGGCTTTATCATAATTGTTGGTTTTGAATTTACAGGATAAAAATGCTAACAGGGATTTTGGAGCTGCATCTTTCAACGTTGTGACTGAAGTAATGCCTGTTTTTGTTTTCTTCCAACCCCCCATTCTTCGGCATCTTTGGTACAACCAGACCAATGCTGAACCTGGTGCTAAATTCGCAATGAATGCTGTCCAGCACGACAATTAATTATTCATAAATTAATGAGCGAATTAATGATACGCCACTGTTTCATGACCAAATTGAAGAAACTAAACTAAAACTAGTTTTAGTGAACCCTAATCGACATTTGATTTCGGAAAATCGACTATACATAATATATCATATTTTACGCAAAATTGTAAAATTTCCAGGGATTTTGTGCCTAAACGGTTGACTTTAGCGAATTTCATAAAACCTTTTTTATAGAAAATTTTATTCTCTTTAATTTTGCTCTCCTCAAATTTTCGCGAAAAACGCATAGTTTTCGAGATATTCACAAAATACCAATTTTGGGCGCCATTTTGGCAAGACGGCGGCGCCGGCGGCAAGTCTGGAAATGTGCATTTTATGGATTTTAGTTAGGGACCCTAAAACCTATAAACTTGCAAAGTTTCAAAACTTCCGGACTTTTTTCCAAGCAGGCCCCTTTTTTGATCCCCAATGACTGAACTATTCTGACTGTTAGTTTCTTGCGTCAAAACTGTCACGATGACAGGTGTCTTGAGAAAGATGGCCTTGGTCCAATCTATCAACATACCAAATTTCATTGAAATTGGACGATTTTTTCGCCATTGATGATGGGGTTTCATAGTGCACGAAACGTCAAAAAAGGCTTACCATTTTTTCGATCGTTGCCACGTTTTTTGACGCATGTCGTGACGCTAGCTCGTGTGTCACGGCTCTGAATTTTTACTCCCACTTTTTTTGAAGTGAAACTTTTCACTCCGCGTAAAAACTTTCACTTCAAAAAACGGCGTCCAGTTGGCATGGAAATGAATATCGGTGGCATTCAACATATAATTTTACATATAAAATGACAGCGATCTTCATTTCATAGCTATCGTTGACGACGTTCTTATATCATATTGTACTTAGATATGTGGATACAATTAAACTGTATCAGGTGGCCAACTAAGGGCGCTCAACCGGAAAATGCCCGCTAGGGGGCGTTTCTCTAATAGCCAATCAGAAAACAGGGTTTTTCTCAAAAATATGCAGATGAACAGATATTTTAAATATTACTATTGTAATCATCGAGAAATGTGTATTTTTTTTATATAGAGTATTTTGGCTTTATCTCATAAAATAAAGTGGTGGAGGAAGGTTAAATTTGCTGTTATTAAAATAAGGATAACTCTGATTTAGGATACGCAATTTGAACAAACTAGGGCTCGTTTGAAAGATTTTTTCTTTCTTAATGATGTCCAGTATAAATTTTGTTTCCACAGTTTTTTTCGTGGTAGCTAGAGGGCGCTGTTTGACGTCATAACAGATATTGCGCTTTTGCGTAAAAAATTGAAATAGGCTATATTTCTCTTTGCACAGTTAAATAGAGCACAAAATTTCCAAAATATCAGCGCCAAACCGCAACTTTCTACCTTCTCTCTAACCGGAGATATTAAGAGAATAAATCATGTTAGGCTGCCGCTTAAAAATTATAGTAGTAGGCTAGGAAACAAAAAGAGGTAAATTGGTTACGTCAAAATATCAAAACAAATATTTTAATTTCATTTTAATACCTGTTGATAGAGGAGATGATATTAGATTTGAATCATACTTTAGGAAAAAAACTAAATATACCAAGCCAGGTATATAACATGCCAGGTTGGGATTTAGTGTAAGTATTTAGAAGTGGGAGTATTCAGGGTGTATTTGTCATTTTGTCAAGGTACTATTAACAGTACCTGTTCAGTAACCTTTAATAGAATATAGAAAAAGAATATTATATGCAGGGTGATCTGAACTATGTTACGAAAAACACCAGCAACATATTCTGCAGATAAAAATAAGTAAAAAGGTGTATATACATGTATGTCCTAGAATGGCTTAGTTTCGGAGATGCAGGGTGTAGAAATTTTATTTTTCTTTCAATTTTTTGAAAGTTTTTCAAATAATTTCTGAAGCTTTTTAAACAATTTTAACTTTTCCAAATAATTTCTGAGGAAGTAAGTAACGTCAATATTTGGTTGAAAATTGGTGTCTGGGGTTTTTTGACATACATGAGAAATTTGATTTTGATGTCAATATGACTACTATTTGTAGGGGGCACCATCTACATGTGTTTTAACTGTTTTGAAGTATAATAACGTTTTGTCCGTAAATGTATAAAACGAAGTAATATAACTCCGTTATTTTGGACTTATTTGAAAAACGGTAAAAAGAAAATATGTTTCTTGTATCGAGATCTACCAGCCCTGAAAATAGTTGTACTTATTTAAGACTCACCCTGTATATTAACAATTAGCTGATGGTAAATTAAACTAAACTCTTGTAAATTACAGAAGATGTAAAATTTGTCGATAAATTTAATTAAATTCATTAAGTATAATACAAAAACCAGTATCTAAACATATATAAGTATTAATTTAATTAGAGCGCGTATAAATACTGGATACTAGCACAGACTATTATATAGGTATTTCGTGATATTAACTATATTAATCCCCTTAAATTTTCAATTATCACGAACATTTCTCTATCCGATTATGTATTAGTTTATATTAGCTTCGGCGGTTCTTTTTCTACAACCTACCTAGAGTCCAAATCTTAAATCGCCCAATACTAGGGTTGCCAGACTGTTTTAGTTAAATTCCGGGAGGGCAAAAAAAGCGAGAGAAATAATGGCGATGCTCTAAAAAATACTCATCAGCACCCCACCATCCCCTTGCTATTTCACATTTGCGGGAATATAGTATGTTGAAACTAAATTAAAACAAATTATAGTCAAAATATTTTATTGACATAAGAGCAAACGAAGGTAGTTTTTTTATTACCAAAATAATATAAATGCAGGGCAATAATCAGGTATAAATGAACGAAGCTAAATCGAAAAATGTGCATAATTTTTTTTACTTTGTGAACTTTATGATGTGTAAAACAAAGAAGGATAGAAAAACAATATAACATACGAACATCTTTCAAAACAAAAAATACACTTAGATCCATTTTATCACATACTGAACCAATGAAAACAGAACAACAAACAAAAAATGTAATATACCAAATACCATGTGAACAGGGGCGGATACAGGAATTTATTTTAGGGGGGGGGGCAAAGTAAAAAGTAATGTAGAATATGCTTTTTAAGGCGCCATTTTTAAGCAAAGAGCCTAATATTTAACACAATTCACAGATTTCAGGGGGGGACACGGGCCCCAAGGGCCACCCTCTGTATCCGCCACTGCATGTGACTGCGATAAATTTTACATTGGTGAAATATCTAGACCCTTAAATGTTAGAATTAAAGAACAAGATTATTTAAGAAAGGAAGATTTTACTCAAATCTAAGATTTGTCAGCATTCACGGGACACAGGGCACAGAATAAATTTTAAAAACGC